AATTTGATCACAATAATAATAATTGAATTATTGAAAATTTATTTATTATATTAATTGCGACTGACTGAAATACCAGTGCCGATATGTCATAAAATGTCCCACCTTAATATTCGTAAAATTATGTTCTCAAGTCAAAATTCAATGATAGATAGAGTTTATTATGGAATCATGAACAAATTAAAAAAAAAAACAGGAAGATTGTACAAAAAATGTATATAAACTAATTACCAGACTAGTAAATGAATCAATTTCAAAGTCAAATGTCATTTTTTTTTAAATCTAAAATTTATTCAGATAAATTTGAAAGGAGAAAAATAAAAAGAAAAAAATCTTCAAGTTTACACGTTAAAATAATTTAAAAAGTTAATTCACAAACATAAGCCATTGGTATTAATTAGTTTTACTTCAGCTTAGACAAGCTAACATTTTCAAAAAACAAATACAAGACTTTTTTTTTGCAATGTCTTGTACTTGGTGTCTATTTTTAGAAGATGCAAACTTGAACTCCAACAATGATAAGTTGAAAATTCTCTTTTTACGCCGCATGATGAGCTGTTCAACTGCGTTTACAAATTTATTTTAGATTTTATTTTTGATAGATTTTTCCTGGAGCCTGACATATTTCCTACTACTCTACTAAAACAAAAAAAAACTTTATTTTGTGGTTACCAATGTTTTTAAACGGGCATTCACAATCGAGAGGGTCCGAACCTACGTCCCCTTTTTAGGAGAAACCACCATCTGAACTGGTCAGAGAGCATCACAGCCCAGCAAGATTCAATTACCTCTTCAAAGAATGTTCAAATTTCTCGAAAGCCCAATATATCTGCTCATATTTTTGTATCCTAAAAGGTAATCTTTAAGGAATCAATGGATTCTTTATACGACTATGTCAATAAAAAATTAATTGATTCCTTAGAATTTTAGTGTATTTGGGTAGCAATCCATCTCTCTCTCGTTAAAAAAAGTGGCTAACAAAAAAAAAAAAAAAAAAAAAAAAACGATTTTCTTCATCATCGATGAGATCCGAGGTGGGACAGATTTAGTGAAGACTAAGAGGCTGTTGAGACAAGAAAAGTGTGTGAAATGAAGTAGAATATTTTCACAACTATAACGAATCTGATGTTGAGTCCCAACAATATCTTTATTGTGCCCAATAATAGCGCTTGGCAACGCATTTACTTTTTGGTAAACAGTTAAAAAAGAATAGAAAGAGAGAAAAAAAAACTGCATTATTGGATTGGAATTGATGAATTTTGAGTTTGACGTTCAATGGGAAAGTTATTTGGAGTGAAAAGACGGCAAGTTTTATTCTTTATTGGAACAAAGATAAAAAAGGAAAAAAAGCGATAGAAAAGGTTTTTAAGACAAACCAACACTAGAGAATTTAGAAAATTAAAAAAAAAATACGGAAACTAATGTGTTCATCCTTTTTATTATCCTTTCCCTTCTTATTGTTTGCGGTTTAGTGTAGCTACTCCAAGCAAAGTAGGAGGAGGTATTATTTATTATTATCCTCTCCTTTTTTGTAGCAGTTGAATTCTAAATTTCGCCATGCCTGAGTGTTTGCCATTGGGCTTTTTTGACATCTAAAAAAACTATGTAAACTAAACATACTGTTTTTAAATAAAAATGTCACTATATATCTGAATATGTACACTACACAGGGTGCAATAAAGAAACTATCAACGACAGTTTTTATACAAGATTGTATCTGTGACAGCTAGGTTACATTTTTGTTTTTTGGGTTTTTTTTTTTAGAAATATTAGCGTACACAAGACAGTGTTGTCCAACAATTACACTACAGTATAGTACACATTTAGACTGCTGATTGCATTTCAAAACAAATGGATAAAATTGAAGAAAACATTTCAATTTTCATTGTGGTGATAGTGACAGTGTGTGTGTATTGTTGGGGAAAAAAGAAAACAAGACATACAATACACAAATAATCAAACTATCACTGATTTTTAGATTACTACCAGATACGTGGGTGGGTGCTGTTTTGTTGTTTTGTAATGGTTTTACTTTTATTTTTTGTTTTTTTGCACGCACTGGAATGCATAGGAGTTTAAGTTTAAGTATAAATTCAAAACAAAATTAGTATCCAAATTCCAGAAAAATATTTATCGTCATTTATAGAGCTTTTTCATAAATAAATGGCTGATTAAAAAAAAAAAAGTTTAATTTTTAATTCTCTTGAACTTGGTGGGTGGAGAACTAAAAAGGTTTTAAAAAGATCATTTTAAACTAAAGTAAGCTGATCTTTCTTCCTAGTTTGGGCTGGCAGACCACAATAATATCCAACCAATTATGTCGAAATCAATTTGTCAATATTCTGATGAGTTAAAAAAAAAAAAAGTTACCTTTAGGATTTTTTTTTTACTCCCCCTTTTCTTCTTTTCACAAAAATGAAAAATTTGTGATGTAACAAAATAAATCAATTTTTTGTCGTTCTTCATCTAGTAAACAATTTCCCGAAAATCAATTAAAAATGATTAATTAATAATAATAATTAAGTAAGGAAGGACTATATTCATAACCTCTGGTTTACGTTTACGGTTTAATTGATTTTGTTTGTTTTTTTTTCTTTCTCTCCATAGCACTTTCATGCACCATGACCCCTTTTTTTTTTTTTTTTAAAGAATTAAGGGCCTGAATCAGACGATAGATAAAAAAAAAAAAACTCTCGCTATACACTGTATCAGAAAACATATTTTTTTTTTAAGTTAAGGAAAATACGGGTTGGAACTAATTGTTCGAAGAGTCTTATGTTTTTTCCTGACTTTACTTTGAATTGCATCCAACTTCCAATACAAAGAAAAACGATTCGAACTGAAATAAACGCACACAGCAAAAATAATCCATGCCTCTTAAAAATTAAAAACTGTTTTTCTTGCCTTGGTTTTATTAATTTTACAAAAATCACCCCACCCCCACCAAAAAAAATTACAACTTCTATTGTAAGCCAACAAAAATCTTGCTGCAAAAGAAAAATGTAAATTAATAATTCCGAATTGTAATTCAAACTATTTAAATTCACTCAATCGGCTAAAAATAAACTCATTTTTGTTTTTTCTTTGCATTCCATTTCTATTATGTAAATATGAGAAAATAAGCTCACAATTATTATTGCACCACTTGCTGGTTTAAGATTTTTTTTTTTCGGGCGGATAGCAATAAAAACTGCCATAATGACTGGGAGGGATAAAAGAATATTTTCAAAGTATTTCAAAAATCAAAATTTACTGATTTTTTTTTTGTTTGTTTAACATGACAATAGGCAATCCAATAACTGTCTTTTTTCAACATATACCTGCTATTTAATTTAATTTAAATAAAATAAAAACAAAACTATGACGCTTGCTCTAGGCAAAAGAAAGGTAAAAAGACATTGATAAAGAAAAACACATTTAAAAAAGTGTTTTAGCAAAATTAAATGAAAGAAAAACTTTGTAGCTGACATTAAAAAAAAAAAATGTATGTTTTACTTTTTAAAAGATTATTAGCACGTGTTTTTTTTTAGTTGTTTTTATTTATTTATGGTTTTTATAATCATCGGATCGGATTCAAAATGCAATTTGAAATAAAATAAAAAAATCTTGTTTGTTCCTGGCATGAGAAGAAATTAAATTAATTATTAATTGAAAACAAAAATTAATTTTTCGTGTTATTTTTCGAAAAAAAACTTAAAAGGTAATTAAATATTTTGTTATTGAATTTACAAAAAAAATGAATAAAAATTAAAGTAGTAAAACTAAAAATTCAAAGTTAAATCAATTTTATGCTTCGAGCTTCGTTTAGGTTTCTTCTCGGAAAAAGAAGATTGTTAAAACTAAAACTATCCCTTGCTTATTAAAACAAAAATTGTGTACAAAAAATGGGATATTATTCTCTCTTATTTAATAACAGAAAGTTCAATATAGTTACATTTTAGAGAAAAATATTGAAATAAAATTAATTTCTTAGAAATAAGATGACGACAGACAACATAAAAAAAGCTATCGATCAAGAAAATCTTTTTTTTTTTTTCTTATTTGTTTGCCTTGGTTTTATTAATTTTACAAAAATCACCCCACCCCCACCAAAAAAAATTACAACTTCTATTGTAAGCCAACAAAAATCTTGCTGCAAAAGAAAAATGTAAATTAATAATTCCGAATTGTAATTCAAACTATTTAAATTCACTCAATCGGCTAAAAATAAACTCATTTTTGTTTTGTTTTTTCTAAAATTAGTGTTATTCAACAAGGTTCCAAAAACATAAGAATTTTTGCTACTGGGCTAAGTTTATTTTAAAAATCATAACATTTCATGTCGACACATCATTTTTTAACTGTTTCTCAGAAACAACAACCCAAACTTGTCAAAAAAGAAAAAAAAAAAAGAGGGTGGATGATACAAAAGTAAAACAGGTGTAGAGACAAGTGTACAATTGTAGATTATTTTAATTTTTAGGACTACAAGAAAAAAAAACTAAAAGGTCACTTTAACAGTAGATTATTAATAATTGTAATTTTTAAAACAAACTGATTGTAAATGTGATGTAATTTATTTTAAACTTGTCTTTTATCAACAACAGTGTGTGTACTACTGTGTTGGGTCGTCTGCCTTTAAAAACAAAAACATGTGATAAATGGTCTGAATTTTTCTTTTTTAATCGACTCGGTTAAACTTGAAATGAATTTGAACTACAAAAAGTACGGATATTATTTTGTTTGTTATAATACCGACATTACTTTTATCAAAAGAACAAATTTAAAACGGTTTGTTTTGGTATGCTTGCTTCTTTTCTTTCTTTTTTTTTTTTTAATGGCATAGGGCAAAGGCCCAGAACAGACTACAAGCCATAACAAAAACGTGATAAAACATTCCATGGAATAAAAATCATCAAATAATACTTTTAATTCAGTGAAATCTGAATTTTAATTTAATTTCAAGACAGATTTTAAAAAAATAATAAAAACTTTTTTTTCAATAAGCTTTGATTTAAACTCACCTAATTTCAAAGAGGCCCGGCTTATCCAAATTACTGGCCTCAAAGTTGAAAGAAGCATTGTAAATATCAATTTCTCCCAATGGAAGCATATCATGTTGACTTCTGTAATGATAAAGTTTGCAAGTTTTGTCGGAGAAGACGAAATATCTTTGCTTGTTTATCTTGGGCAGAAGTCTTGTGTTCGGTCTGACGGACAGCCAACCGCACAACTTGTCTTCTTCCTCATCGTCGCAAACTCCAAATGCAGAGAGCGCTTCTCCATTCTCCGTAGAGATTCCAATATCCAAAGGTTTCACTTCAGCCACGCAAGTAACTTCCACGGGCTTGGACTGTCCGGTGATATTAACCTCCATCATCCTTTTCTTCCTGCTTTTCTACTATATTACTTCTTATTCTCCTTTCTTTTACTTTTTTTAAACTGAAAGTCTGACGAGTGACTAACTAGGAACAACGAGATTGAGACTGACAGTCATTATTGTTATTGTTGCTTTAGTCTTTGTAATACAAACAAGAAAAGCATTAGCTCATGATTTGCTACACATCCGGCATCAAGCTCGGACAACACAAAAAGGCAAACGAAATACACACATCACGAGATCCTCTTCTTCATCCTTTGATCGGCGGCAACAACACCACCAAACACTCATATCACTATCAGTCTCTGTGTTGTGTTGCCTTTCAATAACATATAAAAAAACTGAAATTATACCGGTTAAAGATTTTCTTTTTTCTTTTAAACGAATTTATATAATTTAATTTAAGAGCATACTTTTTCCTGAAAAAATTCATAATTTTTAAACACCAAAATAAAATTATCACATTTTTTTTCACATTTTTGGAGAAAAAACTTGACCTTGGTAGATTAAAAAAGTACACTTTCATTACCTGCTGCAAGTTATGAAATTTTAAGATAATAACATTATTAAAGAAAAATGATAATGCCTTTATTCTGAAACTAATACATATGTTTTATCTTGGTATTATCAAAATAATAACTTTATCTTTGGCATATTCACAAAAAGATAAGATTTTAATGACAACTAATCTATTCCAGATCACTGATTTCGTTTCGTTTTAAATAGGATTTTTGAATATGTAATAACCGAACATCCTGGTTATTCATAATATGGCTGCTTCCATGCTCCTCTTTTAAAAGGCGTGGAAAAATAACATGAATTATGGCTAACGTTGTTAAAAGTGGAAATATTTTTCGAAAATCCTTTACTTTTGCTAATAAGGATGTTGCGAATTGGTTTCCGGGTCATATGCATAAAGGTACTATTATTAATTATAAACTTTTCATTTATGATTTTTTTGTTTACTTTATTATTCACAATTTTTACTGTGTTTACACTTTACACTACGTGTTTTATTAATATTTTTTAATTAAAAACTTGCATGGAAACATCTATGTTTTTAAATCTATAACATCAGTGTTATTTTCCCTACTTAAATGAAGTTAATGGTATAATATTGTTTACTCGTCGTTAATTTTTCTTTTTTCTCGAAATTGTTGCGAGAAATCTTTCATTTCAAAATGCAAAACCTTTAGAGATGACAAATGCTATCAAGCCATCAAATTGGACCAAAAAATAATTTAACTTTAAGCATTCTAATTGATTGGAATGGATTCGTTAAAAAAAAAGCTAAACTATAAAAAGCATGTATGATCGCCGATTTACAAACCGGTTATTTACAGTGCGGTTTTTAACATTTGATGAAAATTGTGTTGGAAACTTGAGTGTTTTTCTTTTGGTTGGGATGGATAGATTTTGGTTTGACATCAGTTAATTATTTTTATTTATTTTTCTGTGAGGTATGTGTAAATTAAATAAATGGAATAAAAAATAAAATAAAATTCTTGGTAAATTGCTCTTTAGCAAAAATTTTAAAAAAATCATTGTCCCTCATTAATTGTTTATTTGATCAAGATTACAAAAAAAAATGATTTGCATTTTTTGTGTCCTGTGTTGTGTACTAATGATACATTTTTAAGTGTTAAATTTATTTTGACAAATGCATGGTCTGCTGACGACCAACAAATTGAAATTCTTTTCCACTAAGTGAGCATAATTTGGGAAAAACATTTAAAAGACAAGAAACTGTAGAACCACGATCGCCCACGTCCTGAAGGGACGCGGCATATAGAAGAATGTAAACATTGTTTACAACAGAAATACACCGAGAAGAATAAGCGGAGGCCCATCTGATATTTAATTTAAATCTGAAGATAAAAAACTGGATTTACTTTTAAAGACCGTCGCGGTTCGTCTGTCATTTTGTTTATCATTTTTATTATTTATTTACATAACAATAACACTGAAGTTCTCATTATTCTCAGGTTCGATAATATATCTACCACACAACCCAAGCAATTGTGAGAAACCAACAATAAAATTGAAAAATGATGACCTTGACCACAATGGTTAAAGAAATCCCTCCCCATCACTTTTTTTTGTGTATTTTCTATTCAACAGAGACAATTTTGCTGACCCATTGTTATTTGTTGTTTCCCAGGTGGGTTTTTAATTAGGCATGTATTTGTTACTGTACAAAGACAAATGTGGCACAAGCTCTTCTTTAGTGTGAGCTACCCAGCACATGTTTCAAGGTCACATAGTGGGTCATCTAGAAGTTGTCAACAGGCATCACACCTCTGAGTGCAAGAGAGATGTATTGTCTGAGAGAGGGATCCCAAGTTTTATTTAATTGTTAGTGACTTCCAGTCCATTGTCTTTTTTAAACATCTCTTTTCTGTGAAAATATATTTATATATATATATAAAGAAAGAAACATAAGATACAATCTTCTCAAAAAGAAAAAGACACAAGATATACCCAAAAAGAAAAAGGAAGACAAGGTATAGTCAGTAAAAAGGAGAAGAAAGAAAAATAAGAGATAGAAGAGATATTAATCTCTTCTCCAAAGAAAAAGAAGAGATAAGGATAAATATGATATAAAAATGGAAAAAGATAAGACCAGACATGTTGTGAATTAGTTTAACCAGTAAAAATCCTTTATGTTAAGTAAGATGTTATGGAAAATAGATTTAAATTTAACTGAAAATAATGTCTTCTAGATGAAAGATTTTGGATACATTGTAATATCAGATAGATGTATAATTATTGTTTAAATATGTTGCCTCTTCTTTGAAAATGCCAACTGTCAATCTGATGTTACCAATGAAGAGTAAAAAGAGCTAACTTTTTGTTTCAGGGGAGTTTGTTCTTTGAGACTGATGAAGGTTACACCCGTGTTCCAGAGAAAGAGTGATATTACTGTTGCTTACAGTGTACAGGAAACAGTCCCAAGTGAAGCATTATTCCAGTTTCCACATTAGCTGTCAGCGGGAACAGATTCAAGTGGAAATTTATTTTCCTACCACCCAATTTTTGTTTAAATCTCACAAGCACATATCGCACTTCTCATGAAGGATGGCAAGGCCTTTAATGTCTGCCTGATTCCGGAATCTAGTGGTGCCACAACTGATATGCCAATTGTCAAGTGGATAGAAAATGTGGAGTTGGTCTGCGAATTCTGTGCTATGGACAAGTTCGAGTGTGTCCTATCATTGTGACTCTGAAGTGGTGCTCTTGCTGTAAACAGGCAACTCAGTAAGGAGCAGAAAGCAGACATGGAGCAGATGAAATGGGCCCCTATGATCGCATACTTAACAGACGCCTGGTTTCTTCAGCACGTGTGCAACAGCATTTTTTAGATTACAGTCTACTCTGTAAAGACACAGAACAGTTGAGAGATGGAACTTTTCCTGTGTGTTGGGGGCTTAGGGTGGCAATTGCAGTCATCAATCACTGAGTTGGGACGACAAAGTCAGAGATGACTATCTGTCGGGTGCTGGTGGAAACAATGACCAGAGTATGTGAAATGGACCCTGTTGGGGGAGATTGGTGTATGGATGGCAACAAGATGAAGGTTTGGGTAGATGCAAGTTCTTTGGCCACAGATGCAAGGCATATCAATCTGGCTGAACTAGATGCAGCATTCAAAGGTATCAATCTAGCCTTTCAATGGCAGGCCACAGTGTTATATTTGGTCACCAATTCAGCATGCATGCATCTGACAACCTGACAAGGAAGGCACATGTGAAAACGAAGGCAGCTGGTGAAATTCTTGTGAGACAGCATTTGGGAACACTGCAGGCGTTGACAGAAGGCTGGTTTGACCATAGATGTAGCACTAGTGAAACCCTGACAAAACAATGCAGATTGTCTCACCAGAGTGCTACAAAGGTGGTTGGATCTACACAAGGAGGGAGAAGAACCGGAACCAGAGAGTTATGCCACAATGAGCAGCCGACTGAATGAGAGTCAGGTGGCTGACATCCACCACCAAAATGGACATCCGGGCGGAAAATGGACATTATGTTTTACTAGATCTATCAACCCTCTGGTCTCTAGGAAAATCACGAGATCAGTTGTCAAAGCATGCAAGGCCTGCTTGTCAATAGATCCAGCACCAGTTCATTGGAAGAAAGGAAAACTGGGTGTGGAGAACAACTGGAGCAGATTAGCAATACACATAACCCATTAAAATGGCAGGCATTTTCTAATGCTCGTTGATTGAAATCCCTCCAGATTTGCAATGTGGTGGCCATTGCTAGTGTAATTCACCAGTTAGAGATTATCTTATTTGAACAAGGCTAGCCAACTGAAATATTAACTGACAATGACACTGCCTTCACTTGCAGGCACTTCAAGGAGTTTACAAGCAGCTGGGGCATGTGCTTGAGGATCTGGTGTGCACATTCACTGGCTGGAAATGAAATTGTGGAGCGCAACCACAGAAGTATTAAGACCATTGTGATCAGAAAAAATTGTTCCATGTTAGAGGCAGTTTATTGGTATAACGTCACACCAAAAGATGACATCTTGCCTTCCACGGCACTGGCTAACACACTGCATAAGTACCACATCCAAGTAAGAGGCATTGAAAGGAATCCCCCACCTGAACCACAAATGACTGGAGGGAAATATGAAGGTGGAGACGTTGTCTGGGATAAGACTCTACATGAGAAAAAAACATGATTTTTGCTACTGAGCTTAAATATTTTTTCATACAATACATGCTTTTTTTTTCTCATTCATCTCTGTAAATTTTGAAATTAATTAAAAAGTAAAAAAAATTAATATATAATGTAAGATAAAAAAAAAACTGAAGAAGATAATCAAAGTAGAATTTAGGAAGAAATATGACTACATATGTCTATTTTAATGTCAATTCTATGGCCTGTTAATAGACCTAAATCTTTTTTCTTTTTCTATAAAAGAATTGCTGACAAATCATTTGAAGATTGAACATTGTGGAAATTGATACAAATTTAATGCTGCAGCTTAAATGTTTAATAATAATTAACTATTTTATTTCTTGTATATATTTTTGTAGATAATTTCATTTAAAAACAAATGAAGAAATATGCTATTTCGCAAACCAGTAATTCGCCTTCCAAAGCTTATGAGATCAATGGAGGAATCGCCCAAGGCTCTCTCCTCAGTCTTATTCTCTTTCTGCTTTTCATTACCAATCTACCAAAGAACATTTTCAGATCATTAGTAAATATCTATGCAGATGATAACATTGTTTATAGATGCACTTCTGAAAAGCAAAATGATTGAAGTCTTACAGCTAATTTCTCTTCAGAGCTAGTTTTAACAGCTCAATGGGGAAAATAATTGACTTGTTACTTTCAATATCTCAAACATCAAGTTAGTACTATTTCACTACCACCATTCAGACCCTGAGTTTTCTCCAATCATAATTAATGGTTGGACTCTCAACAAGATCTCATGCTTTAAACATCTATTGGATCTCAAGTTTATCTCAAATCTTGTGGAACTTTCTCTCATATATATATATATACACACACACACACACACACACACACACACACACACACACACAAATGCAATGAGAACTGAGATTCAAATGAAAATTGGGTGGTAGGAAAATAAATTTCTACTTGAATCTGTTTCTACTGACAGCTAACGTGGAAACCGGAACAACGCTTCACTCAAGACTCTGTTTCCTGTACACTGTAAGCAACAGTAGTACTGCTCTTTCTCTGGAACACTGGTATAACCTTTACCAGTCTCAAAGAACAAACTCCCCTGAAACAAAATCAACTCTTTTTATGCTTCCTCGGTCTTGTTCAAGAAACCGAGATCTCTTGCTTGTGTTAGCATTGTTCTCACCTATAATGCATGTGCTGTGTCATTTCAACATTGATTTGCTGAAGTTCACCTCGCAGGTCTATGATG